GGGGGGGGGGGTGGGGGGGGGGGGGGGGGGGGGGGGGGGGGGGGGGGTCAAGTCTGTGGCACTTGTTTTTCATTGCTGCTGTTGCGTCTACTGCTGTTGTTGTTGCGGTTGTAGCGAATTATTTGATCGCTGGTGCTGGTGCTGGTGCTGCTGGTGCTGCTGTTGCTGCTGTTGCTGCTGTCCTTGGGTTTTGCTGCTGCGCTCGCTGCTTTTGGGTTCTTTGCCCCTTCTCGAGGGAGGTGTATTGATACCCCTTGTCTGTCGTCAAAGTGCACCCGCTCCCTTGGTGCCAGACTTCACCCGCAATACAAACAACCAGACCACAAACATGCCCCCACAGCATGTACCCGTAGAGTATCTCCTGAATCGATTCCATTCACGCTCTCCGCCTCCGCTTCGCCTCTTCTTTGGGTAGGTCCATCCTGATGATGTCCAAGGTGATGATGGCCGAGGAGCTCACCAACCTTCAGGACGTCTACCTCCACGCGGTCACGCGGCACGTCCTCCTCCAGCGGGAGGCCGACGCCTACCTCGCCTCGTGGAAACATCCAGAAGAAGAAACGGAAGAAGAGGGCGAGGGCGAGAGTGCGCGGCGGCGGCGGCCCCGCAGACATCACGGAGGGGGGGGGGGGGGGGGTTATTCTTCCAGCAGGAGGGGNGGAGGGGCGGGAAGGAGGGGCGGGCGGAGAGGAGAGCACGGCTGTTGGAGGTCGGGGGTCGGCTGGCCCCCCCCGTCGGGTTCGGGGAGGAGGGGGGCGGCGGGCTCAAGAACATTAGGTGCGTGTCGTTGTTGTTGTTGTTGCTGTTGTGCTCAGGGGGCGGAACAGGCCCAAGTTTACGATCGAGTCGCCATCTGTCCTGGGCTTGCTGCCATTTGACACAGCGTAGGGCACGTACGGTGTGGTACACAAGCTGGACCGACTTTTCAATGCTCGATTCGTACGTTTTGGCTGTTGCTGACGTTACTCCCTGTGCCATGCCATGCCATGCCATTCTTCCTGCAGGGCGGAGGACTTCGTGACGGGCCTGGCCAGCCTCAACCGCATCACGGCACAGATGGGCCGTCTCCGAAGCGAGGACCGCAGGAAGATTTTGTTCGGGTCCGATCAGATAGTGCCCTGAGCCACAAAGATGCTCTTGGCCAGCCCCCATCCCCCTCCGAAGGGCGAGGCAAAATTCCTCCTATTCTTTGGCCGAGCCTCTTCAATTTCTTGGTTCGATTTGTGGTGGTTCCGAGACAGTTTTTTTGTGTTTTTTTTCGCGGTTGGGGTACGTGCTTGCTGCAGTAGGTGGTGTCTTTGTTTGGTGTGTCGGCTGGACGGCACAGGCGCTGGCTAACGTATCGAGTCAGCTTTGTGGTGAATGTGCGTGCGATTCTTAGCTGTATATATATATATATACGTACACCAAGACCACGCCTTCCGAGGGGTACAAGGGCTATACAAAAGGCTTCCGCCGATAACTGGAGTCTTGTGATTGGTTGGTGAGTGGCGTGGTATGGTAGAGGGCGAGGGATGAGCGAGTGTTGGTGGTAAGGTTCGAGTTGCGATGACCAGAGATGTTTGGCTTCGTCAAATCACATGGATCGGCGTTTCTGTCTGTCGGTCCCTCTCTCTGTACAATGTCGTTCCTCTTCGTTGATGTTGTTGTACCCCTTCTCGGCAGCAAATAGGTGGTTTAAACCCGCCCGTCCGGCCGGCGCCAGTTCCCGTTTCGATCTCTTTTCTATCCTTGCTCCTCTCGCGGGTGCGCGCTCGCTTGCCGTCTTGTCTCCGCTGTTGTCAGCGAAGAGACAACCAAGTTCGCCTTGCGCCGTCGTGTCGGATGTGCTGAATAGCGTCTGTTTCGTAACCCGAGGGCAGGCGTTTTTGCCCCTACCGAGCTGACTGTTTTTTTCGGCCGGAGCTCCAGCCTTTTAGCTGCCCCCCCCCCCGCGGGATTGAGGCAGGCCTTGGGAGAGAAAAGCATCCAGTTCCTCCCTTCTCAGCGACTGGTAGCCGCTTTGTCAGGCTGGGGTGCTTCTGCGAGTGGGTTGGTTTGAGGAAAATGGGTGGGAAGAAAAAATGAAGAGAAAAATGTTTTTTTTTTTTTCTTGTCGCGCGCTACGGCGGTTGTTTGTGTTTTGATTTTGTTTGATTTTCTGGTGGTGTTTTTGTATCTCTTTTTATGCTCCCCTTCCCCCCCCCACACTCAATCACTCCATCTAGCCTCAGAACGCTGGGGGCGAGACTTGCGCACAAAGAGGGGGGAAGGGTTAAGGGTGCTTTGAGTGTGGTTCCTCTACACGCACGGCATGGTGCTCCTTGCTCTACCAAAGCCTCCAGAACGGTATGGTCTGCACGATATGACCTAGAAATGTTTTGCCGGCGTGTCTGTTGTTTGATTTGACAGCAAGGCCCCGCCGTCTGCTGCGAACGTTTTCCGGTGCTACTTGAATAACTTGGTGTGCGTTTTTGTCCTTGTGCTTTGGAGTTCTGCTGTTCCTGGCGTGGCGTGCACGCGCCGAGCGAAACGTAAGGAGGCAGGATTTTGGCGGGGTGATGGGGGAGAGGGGGGGGCGGCGGCTTGTGTCCTGGTACACGCGACTTCAGCGACATGCCCTCCGTGTTGCTCACGCACCTCCTCCTGTAGTCTTCTATTGTGTCTTTATTCATCGTCTCATCACCAAATTTGCGTAGTCTACGCGGGGTGCATACGATACAAATATGTATGCCAAATGAACGGGTTTATTGTTTTCGTGGGAGAGGTGGGCGGTTGGCTTGGTTTTCATTTTTTTTTGCTCCGCGTATTTGTTTTGGGTCCCTTTGGGGAATCTGTCGCCTTACTTCGTCGCATGTTCCCGAGAGATGACCGCAGAGTTCGGCACGCGACCCGGCCCACGTTCCATGTTCATAGCTGCTTTTTCACACCGATGGTGGAATGTGCTGTTTAGTCGGGGGGGGGCGGGACTAGTATGTGCCTCCTGCTGGTGAAGTGGTGGTGAATTTATCATCATTTGTCATTGTGCGGCAATAATAATATGTGCCGATATGATGAATCAATCATTATTTTGCCGCAATGATGAAAGGGGAGCTGATGTGTGTTTGGGCGATATGTTGTTCCTTGTGTCCGTGTGTGTGGCGTGTGAAACGGTGGTGACGATGACGTTTTTTTTTTTTTTGCCCTTCTTCCATGGATGAGAACAAGCGAGCAAGAGAGGGAGCGAGAGAGAGAGAGAGAGAGAGAGAGAGAGAGAGAGAGAGAGAGAGAGAGAGAGGCCCATGTGTTGAGTCTAGAGAGACCAAGTGTGGAGTCTGCGTTCCGCTGCAAAAAGTACGTTGCGTGCGAGTGCGGGGTCGTACGATTTTTTTTCGAAAATGCTGTTGTGGTGTTTTGTTTCTGCTTCCCCTAATCAACAATGCAATTCGGTCCGACCCAACCCGACCCGCACACTCGGGTCTCGTTCTTTGCCATTTTGTGTTAGTTTGTCTTGGGCGTTGTATTTCAGCTTGGACGATTTATTGCATGTCCTTTCTCTTCTTTTGTAAGTCCTACCTTGTTTTTTTTTTTTTGAGTGCTTGTGTAGGACAGGCGTTTTTTCTCGGGCGAGACGGGTCATGCACCCACCAGTCTAGACTACAGGGATTCTAGAGGAGTAAGGGGTTTGGCGCCAGTGCCGGTGTGGGAAAAGAAAATGACGCGGTCGTGTCTGTGGTGCTCCATGTGAAAGGGTAGCCCGCACACGCCAGTAGGCCGTCGAAGAGTGCAGAAGCTTGTTTTTTTGGGGGGGGTGGGGTGTAGGTTGGATTTTCTCGAATTGTCTTTAAGAAGCCAGGCGAGCAGGCGAGTGCTTGCGTGTTTTTTCAAGAGTATAAATATGCTGACTGGACTGAGTAAGGGCCATGCGCACTCCAAAACGAAAAACAAGTGAGTGTGGCGGGGCGGTGTCTTTTTCAACATGATTTCGACATGTTCGTTTCGACGCAAGCAACACCTCATATATTCCGATAGTGTCGTATTATTATTTCATTCGCTGAATCGCCCGGACGCCTTTGAATGTTTGCATGTTATTAGAGAGGCGTGGCTCCATATGATGTTTATCACGTGTCAGCTTGACGTTTCTTATCTTTTGTCGCTGGTAAATTGCGGATTATTGAAAGACCCAGACCCATACACCGTGTACTGCTGTTGTGGTGCCTGACGATAAGCGCTTTTTTTCAATGGGCGAGTCATCGTTTTTCCCGATCTAATTCCATGCGCTTGAACTTCGTCCGATACCATCTTCGTTTTCTGTCGAGACTGCACAGAATAGGGCCCATTGCGAAGCTTGGATCGCAGACTCCCTGTCCCATCCACGACCTTTTTTTTGCAAAGTAGAGTTCCTTGCCTCATCATATTTTCAGTCTGTGGTTGCGCCCGTTTACTGTAGTCTTCCGCACCCTCTCCACCGACTTCACCCCATGCTGAAGCTTAAAAATATCTTTGTCCAATCTACTCCCTTTTTTTTTAACAGGCCGTTAGGGGGTGCTTCCCTCATCATGCGGCCTGCAACCGATTGGGAAAGCCCGTCCTCCGTCGACCACCAATGAGACGATCAATTTGTCACCATCTGGCCACATCGCCTCGCACAAGGATGCAACACGACGATCGCAGCAATATCTTCTTGAACCGCAACCGGTTTGTGTTCTGAGGCCAAGACCTTTGTGAATACAACGACCAGGACGAAGTCAAACAACAAAGGAGCATTCTGCTACGTACCCCCTAGGAGCCCGCTCCTTTTGCAAACAAGCACCCAATCCTGTCGAAGACGTCGGTTAGTCTCTTTTTCACCAAGCAACGAAAAAGTTCCTTGTTTATTCCATGTACGTAACCACGCCAGCAACCATGCAATCGATTCCATCGGGGAAGGTGCGGTTGCCCTGCATCCCGTACACACCGCCTATTGCATCCCCCGTCTCAATCCACGAACGGTGGATGCCGATCGTGCTATCCCCGTCAATGCGCAAATACTGCCTGTGACATCAATCGGTGGAGTGAAGGGAAAGGAAACCGATGGTTGGTTGAGAAGGACGGCGAGGGGTGTGTGTTGGGAGAGTGGCAACATCTTGGATCAACGTGTGTAGTCTGTCGGTGTCGTCTGTCTGCTCTCACCCTGATATGGCTTGCATCGTGCACGTGTCCCCCCAGGAGCCATCCTTCCCGGCGAAGACAGTCTGCCCACGGATCTCGCCAGAAGTGTAACTCCCGACGACCAGGTCTTCGTCGTCGTAGTAGGAGTCTAGAGGGGGTGTACCGGCCGCCAAGAAAGGCGCGGGCATGAAGGATAAACAGGGAGTTGGATGGAGGAAGGAAAGTGGACGAGCGAGGTGGCGAGGTGGGTGTCCGCGTGGTTGCCCGCTATCGGCTCGACAAATACTCGCCCACATTGTACGCCAACAATCTCCGGTACTGCTGTTATGGCCGTTTTCAAAAGGCGTCCTCCCCATCTCTACATTATTCCCCTCCCTGCAGATGGATGCCGGAGGTGCAACCACACCGCAACAACGGCCACACACGCCAACAACGTCCGCGTATATACGTGGGGGAAATCGTCATTGAAATGGCGGCGAATCTTGCCAATATTCGTACCCGTGCCGCGATCCTCATGTTCACCTTAGCAAAGACCGGCAGTACGTATTGTACTCACAAGCAGGAGTTCCGTACACATTGTCCTTGTCAGAGGCTGTGTAGGTCAGCTCCAATGCGGCCTGCAATATCGGGAAAAAACACACACACCACACACACGGCGCCGAAGGATGCCATCAAGGCCCGTTCCTCGCAGGTAGCACTGCAACAAGGTTGGCTGGTGAGTGCACCGGCCGTACAAAAAGTGCAGATATTCGAGAGAAACAGGTCGACGACAACCCCAATGAACATTGAGTGAGGTTGTGGAGCACATCCAAGCATAGCTAGTTTACCTGGGCGCATGCGGTCTCACTCAGGACCGAAAACAGGCACGGGACAACGTGCAAAAACTCAAGTCTGTAAGTCGTCGTGGAAACCAACCGATCTCTTGTTTCGACGGTTAGGACATGAATCAATCTCGTCGGTGTTGCTTCACGCGTGCTGAACTTCGATTATGAGCTCGAACACATCGCCAGCGTCCAATCCAGTACACGCTGAAAACCATGCCCGAGGTTGGTCATCAAATCACAACGCTCTCGCTTTGGCTGAACTCATAGCTGTAGTGGTAGCTGTAGTCCATGTCGTCACCGTTCCTGTAGCGGTAAGATGACCAGTCGTTCCTGTCGGTCTCGCTTTCGCTTGCCCATCGGCTCGGGAACTCAACAGGTGCGGCTGTTGGAGCAGCCGACGATAAGGACGCCGAGCTTGAGGTGGCAACGTTTCGAGCGCCGTGCCCAGAACCATCTCTAGAGGAGCCGTCCTCTGGAACTTCAGAGAAATGACCGCCAGTTCCGGAGCCGCCAGAGGGTGCACCGTCATCACCGCCAGCACGAGCCGGTCTAGAGTTAGACGACGCAGAAGAGGAATAGTAGCGAGGCGAGTTGCTGTTGCTCCAGCTGTCATCGCCACTACGACCATGACCCCTGGACCACTATCACCTTCACCACGACGGCTACCACCACCACCTTTGCCACCTGAGTGCTCGGGGGGTTGTCGGTGGTGGTGGGACGTGCCCTCTTCTTCTTCGTCCCCTCCCCCGTGCGAGCCGTAGAAGGAGGTCGCCGCGTGGCTGCTGTAGTAGGGCGATGGCGATGACGAGGAGGAGAAGGACGATGCCGATCCGGTGCTGTACGGGTTTAAGTCATAGGTGGCAGTCTTGCAAGAGGCCGTCAGCTTGAACCCACCGGCCTCGAGGATAGTGACGGTATGGTTCCCCGAGAGTGTTTCGGAGAAGTAGAGCTCCTGATTCGGGTCGGGTGCGGGTGTTATTGCCACACGATTGATTGCAGAACGGGTGGTTGCGTGATCAGCACCTGCGCAGACCTCTTGATGAAGTACATACAATGTTTGATCAGGAACAGTAACCCGGTGTTATGGAAATATTGGATTATGTCCCGTACTAGTCAATGTTCAGTAGCATTGCTCTCTATAGTAAATCATGCATCGTAGATACTGTATGTTTCGCTTCATACGTAACGCATCTGTATGCGGAGGAATAACCGCTGTAGCAATCTCTGCTCGAGGGATCGCGTGTCTCTTACTCTAGCATGGATCTCTAGCATGATCTCCAGCATGGATCTCTCGCATGGACTTCTCTGGATAGTCGTGACTCTTAGCTTTGCTGGTCATCTCCAGGAACTGCCGTCATCTGGACTTCTGCGTTCGCTGTGGATCTATCAGTATGTTGGCCAACTAAGCGCCAGTGTTCAACATATCTTCACGTCTCAACACAGAACAAGAAGTACCCTACTTCTGATCTTCAACCGCTCGCGGTGCCAACCATCTCGAGTACCATCAAGAGGCACAGCCTTGCCCACTTGTCAGGGATATCTCAGACGACATCCACAACATCCGGGACTCAATCTCCTTAGTATCCACCTCACAACAACAGTTGTTGTGATCAGATTGAACCTCGACCACAAGTAAGTGTGTGATGTCTCCATCTCCTCGTACAGGCATGCACGTCTGGGTAAACGAGCCTCGGTGCAAGCGGGTACCTTGCTAAGTAGGGAAAACAAAGCAGGCTACCTTCTTACGGACGGATGTGGAAATAAACACACTCTACTACAGCCGGTGCCCTTCGGCCTTCTATTGTAATACCTTTTCGTGGGTAAGTTAGCCTGTGACCACGGGAATCGACCGCGAGTGTTAAGGTACGCTGTCTATTGTACATATTTAGTACGGACAGATAGATGGAGATACTGGATAGAGAGATTGGAACAGTTTTTCATGTGAATATTTACAACAACAAACACAACAACAGCAGCAACAACAACAGTGGCAGATACGTACATATTTTACAGCAATCACCGGATTCGGAGGAACGGAGGAATACAGCAACCGATGGTACATCATGTAGACTAATGTACAACGCGCCATAATTGTCTCCATAACCATCATTCCTGTCTACTGCTGTAGCGCATTCCTGCCAGGCGTTACTTACCTGCAAGTCAGTTGCAAATGCCCTCCTTGAAATGATGGCAGAACGCTTGTGGCGAATACCACCAGCGTTTGCCGATGTGTTCAAGATCCCGGCCACAGCCGCGGCTACGAAGCACAGGTCCCTCATCAGTCTACGAGCGGTACATCGAAATATTCAAGTTTCAGCTGTGATAGGTTGAGCCTCTGAACGGTGCTGTGTGCAGTGGTTCCCTCTGTGGGAGTGCTCTGCTGTTCCAGAATACCCGCACGACCAGGGATGGGGATATCAAACAACACGCTGGGGTAAATGGTAGTTCCCACAAAGCGCTCGCTCTCCCTGTCCTCCATCGGCAGTTTTGCTTGTATGACGGAGAATAAGAAGGTGGAATTACTTGAAATTAGTACAGAAATAAAGTTTGTGTATCTAAATCGAAAATAAAACGGCCGATGGCGGACAGGCCTGTATCGCTCTCCCGACTGCGAGAGCGGTTGAAGCGGCCAAAATTGTGCCGGTTCGGGATCGATTGGAGGCTTCACAATTTCACAATCGATCCCTGCTGGAAATTGATGGGTGCGTTTACCACAGCCAGTACTCTAAAGCATAAACTAGAACGAGGATGGTCGCCAACATACATCACGGGGACAAGGCTGCTGTCGACAGGGGATCAAAGCGAGCGCCCTCCCAGCTGTGAGCTGCTGTCGACAGGGGATCAAAGCGAGCGCCCTCCCAGCTGTGAGCGGCGAAAATTGTGCCGGTTCGGGATCGTTCGGCGGGTTCACAATCGGTCCCTGCTCCCTGCTGTAAGATTCGAATGGTGATGAGATAGACAACCCCGTTCGCGTTACCCAAGAACAGTGTGGGGAATCAGCACACTTTCTGGATATGCAAATAGGGCAAGACATTCCTGGTAAGACTTGTATCGGTATGTATAACAAGCGCCAACATATGGCTACGCTGAAGCAATATCGGGCATGATCGATAGTTCGGGTGGCTCGATTCTTTGTGGTTG